TGAGGGTGGAGGAACAGCAGGACTCAACTAAAAGGCAAGTAGCCAGCTGTAAATTGTGACCAGTAAAGATTCTGTATTTATAAGAATGGTAACTTATTGGGTGGTGAAGACAAAAAGAAGTTGGAAAGACTTTTGGCAAAGAGTGTTACACAGTAGGTCTAAAGGTTGAATAGTCTGAACTTACTCGAGGGGACTATAGGATGAGAGTGAAGTGTGAAGTAAATCATTCTTGTCTGGTCCAAGGAGGTAGCCAAGGAAGACAGACCGCAAGTGGTCAATGGGAGAAGCTGTGGTGAAGATTCTGCAGACCACAGTGAGTCGAATATGTGGAAGCAGAGAAAAGAGGCATAAAAATAAATCCATTTTAAGCAATGCTTTAAGAGGGCCCTGTTTTATCCAAAATGATGAAGTACCCAAGAGGTATCCAATATTATACTTTTATTTCCATAACTAAGAAAGAAACCAATTATCTTAGAAAATATTCCCATAGAGTCAGGTCAGGCTGTTTTAAACCTTCTGCTTCATCAGATTCAGTCTCATTTCCTTGCTCCTTCCCATAAATGGGAATCGGGTCATTATGAGACCAGCCTATGGGGATGCCCAGCTCGTCAGTCACACCAAATTTAACCAATAGGCTTGATGTCAGCAGCCCTAAAGCCATCTGGCCTTAAGATGGCCCAAACTGAATGGCCATATAGGCAACAAGGTAACCTTGCAGGCAATGCGGCAATGAAAATGTGTGCTTGGCTTTCAAAAGAAATGCCTCATCTTTTATTTTTTTAAATATATTTTTATTGATTTCAGAGAGGAAGGAAGAGAGAGAGAGAAAAACATCAATGATGAGCGAGAATCATTAATCGGCTGCCTTCTGCACACCCTACACTGGGGATCGAGCCCACAACCCGGGTATGTGCCCTGACCGGGATCAAACCCGGGACCCTTCAGTCTGCAGGCTGACACACTATCCACTGAGCCAAATCAGCCGGGCTGCCCCATCTTATTTTAATGGAGAACGTTTCCTTGGTAAAATTAAAAGTTTTCACATACATGATCTCATTCTCATTCTGTGAAAGAGAAAAGAGGGGAGATGTTTTAATTCCCACTTATAACAGGATAAATTGAAAGATAGATCAAATGATTCTTTTCCAATTCGTCCCTTTGTGCTCTTAAGCCCAGACTGTCCCAGGACTTGGCCTGGCACCACTGGATGACATATACCAGGTGGCTCATATTTTTATTTCACAACATGTAAATGACATTCATCCAGCACAGTCTATAAATATCCTCCCCAATCAGTTCTATCTAAACAAGCAAATGTTTGCTTACATCCCCACCTACAACAATTTTGGCATGACGCATGTCTAGGCATCTATATATTTTTTAAAGTGAGCAGTTGAATGCAGTCAAGTTGTTAGATAGTCTTAACTCTGATAAGACTCATCTTTTACATTCAGAAACCTGTGTAACTCCACAAAGAGACTGTTGCAAGGCTCTTTATCACTCGCTTGCTTGATGACTTGAAAAATTGCACCAAGTGGAAAATATCCATAAATTATAAAAGGCAGTCTTATTCGAACCACCAGTAGATCTCTCATTCTGGTTCTAAATAGCAAGATTACATTAAAACTAAAAAAATAGGTAACATTAATCACTATAATTCAAATAACTACCCTTTAAACCTGGCAGGGAACCTTGAGGACTTTGAACATTACCTTAATTCCATCCCCCCCCCCCCCCCCCATCCCATGAATTTCTGGCATAGCAGAGGGAAGGATAAAGCCTGCTTGGGGACTGGGAGTTTATTAACAGTGATTAAAGTGAGGGAGAACCTTAGAGGAAAGTGTCATTTGTTACCCTCCTGCCTTTGACTTGCTCACTCAGACTGATACTCATCCTTGATTATGACTATGGTGGGAACATCTTGGTGGGACTCTCCTGGTTTTATAGAAGCAAGTAACCAAGGGAAGATAGTGATTACTGAAATAGCAATCATCCTTTGCATAACAATGTATAGTTTACAAACCCTCTCACCTGCATGATCTCATTTGTTGTTTCCCTTAGATCAGTAAGTTGCCATTGTTATTGTTCCTCATTACTTCTGAAGGACCCAAGTCACAGAGGATTTAAGTTCGTTTTGAAAGCCACACAGCTAGTAAGTGTGGAGCTGGTAATCAGACCAAAGGCCTTTGACTCCCTAACCCATGTAATGTCTACCACACCATGAAGATTAAGAATGGGAGATTGACAGAAAAATAGTCACTGTGTTGAAAAACTAACAAATCAACAACAACAAAAACTATCCAAATAGGAGAAATGAGATGCAACACAAAGAAAACACAAATGACCAAAAAACATATGAAAAGCTGCTCACCCTCACTAGCAATGTGGAGATGCAAATTAAAACCATGCTCACACTCATTAGATTAGCAAAAATTCAGTTTGAAAATGCCAAGTACTGTGTCGGTTGGGAAGTAATAAAAATTTTGATGGGAGTGTAAATTGATTTGACCTATTTTGTCAACCATTTGCCATTGTCTAACAAAGATGATGCATGTGGCTTCTGCCCAGCAGTTTTATGCCAAAGTTCAAACTCAGAGAAACCCTCTATATGTGCACAAGGGCCAGGGAAAGAGGTTCATAGCAGAGTTAACTTAACCAAATAGTCACCAGAACCCCAGGGTCCCTTAACAGAAGAATGAATGAATATTAGTAGTGATGTAGTCATTCAATAGATACCACATTGCAATGAAAATGAATGAATCTGAGGTACAGGTTTCAAAATAGATAAATATCACAAATATATTTTGAGGGAAATTACAGAAGATTAATATGTATATCACTTACAAAAGGTTTAAGAGATGCAAAATCGTATTTTAGGGATATTATTATGCAGGGGTTAAATATTACTTAGGAATATTATTTATGGGCACCTAGATATGTCATAAAAACAAAGTACATGTGAACAAACCTCAGGACAATGGTTACCTTTGGAGAGAGCAGGAAGGGGATACAAGTGGGAAAGGGGTGCTACCCTGGGCTCTTCAACTAACATGAGCGATGTTCTGCTTGATGGTAGGGAGGCCACACACAAGTACTTAATTATTCCTTCAACCTCTTAATGTGTAAAATATATGATAACTTTAAAAATAGAAAAGGCAGAAGGAAAATAATTTTCTGGATCACTTACTTCACTGGGATGACCAGAACCTGTTGAAAATGATCCCCAGCTGCCCCATCTAGTGAGGAATCTTGATGGAGGCCGTCCATCCCAGTCCAGTCCTGATTCCTGCCTGGTCCAGTGTCCCAGCCCTTGCACCAGCACCCTTCCTGACGGACATAATGGAGGAGTGAAGCTGCATAGCCTGTGACTTTTTCTAGAATCAGACCTAACCTGGATCCCTGAGCATGTTTGTTAGACTTTTGAGTCTCCTTATCTTTGGGTTTTTAAGCAATTCTCTAGCATTCGGAAAGAGTGAGTGTTAACCAAGTCTATATTGTTGAGGGCATTTTACTCAGGAGTGTTTTAGTCACAGAATTATTTAAGTGTAGTTAGTAGAGAAATTATTTTATATCAGACACTTAAGAAAAGCCAGAAAATTATTGAATTCTGAAAGTTCACCTCTTTTTCATTTTTGGTGTTTGCAATTTTGATGGGCAAGGATGACTTAGAATGAAATCCCTCGCCATTTATACTACCCGTTTCTGAATGATCCTGATAAATTGACGTCTGTTGAGTTGCTTATGTGATAATCTGTGAAAACACGTCTTTTCATTTGTCACATACTCCTCAGCATAGTCAGGCACAATCTCAATTTGCAAGTTCAATTCTCAAACATTATGGTTTATGAGGATAAAAACATTAATCCATGATAAAACAGTTCTCAAAAAATAAAGTTCTTCACTCATAATTGAATTTTTTAAAAAATAATTATCTCATACTTTTCTGCATTTTAAGGAAGAGTAATATTTGTTTGAATATATTTTATAATGAGTAACTTGCCTTTGGGGCATTTTTTTATGTCATAAAGTTAACTTGTAACCAGTAAGCTACTGTAATTCTGTGTTAACTCACTGGGCGAAAGGACAAATGCCTTTTTTGAAAAGATCTACAGAAATATCAACATTGTGAGAGGAGAGGATGCGCTGAGGGCAGCTCCCTGTTTGAAAGCCAGAGTCCCAAATCTCCTTCCTCCTCTTTTTAGCAATAATAGCATTAATAATGTTCCACATGTACTGTGCACTCACAATGCATCAGGCACTGTACCAGGCACTTTTTCTGCATTATCTCATTTCCTCCTCGCAACAACTTTACAAATCAGGGACTGTGGCTGAAGCAGGTAAGTCATTTGCCCAGTGTTACATATCTGCTAAGCAGTAGAGCCAGGATATGGACCCAGATCCCTGATTCCAATAACTGTGCTCTTGACCTATTCCCATGTATGCCTGGAACCTTTGCAATTACACCTTGCTCTAGATAAAAAATATAAATGGGCAAAATGTTTTCCTCTTCTATAAAAAAGACAAAAAGGCAGCTGACTCAGACAAGTGATACCAAAAATAAAACCGTGTACTGGGGCTTCAAAGGTTTCATCCAAAACTTATGCCCACCACTTCTCAATAGTTTGAAAATGTTATTAACTGAAATACAGTGAAGATGAAATTGAAGATGAAAAAGGAAGCATAGACTGACTGCTTCTTCAAGGTACAAATTCTTCCCAACTTTTCTTTTTGACAGTTTCTTTCTGAATATGAAGTTGTTTCTGAACTTCACAAACAACCCATATAGCATTTTTTTCAGCATGTGATCAGTACATGTGTTGGCAGACCTGTTGTAATGTTGAGTCACCTACAGTACATTTAAACGTGATTCTAATGGATTTCCTCACTGCTTAATGAAAAACAACACCACTTTCACTAATCTCATAAATAATTCCATTTCTCTATGCCAACATTAATTGGACTTACCTCACATGGTCAATCTCTTTCTTTTTTCCTTGCAGGTGATGTCATTGTCTATATTAATGAAGTTTGTGTCCTTGGACACACCCATGCAGACGTCGTCAAACTTTTCCAGTCGGTTCCTATTGGTCAGAGTGTCAGCCTGGTGTTGTGTCGTGGCTACCCTTTGCCCTTTGACCCTGAAGATCCTGCTAACAGCCTGGTGCCACCCCTTGCAATAATGGAGAGGCCACCTCCAGTCATGGTCAATGGCAGACATAACTATGAAACGTATTTGGAATACATTTCTCGGACCTCACAGTCGGTTCCAGACATAACAGATCGGCCGCCTCATTCTTTGCACTCCATGCCAGCAGACGGGCAGCTCGATGGCACGTATCCACCGCCTGTCCATGACGACAATGTGTCTATGGCTTCATCTGGGGCCACCCAAGCTGAACTCATGACCTTAACCATTGTGAAAGGTGCCCAGGGCTTTGGCTTCACTATTGCCGACAGTCCGACCGGACAGCGGGTGAAACAAATACTTGACATTCAGGGATGCCCTGGCCTGTGCGAAGGCGACCTCATTGTTGAGATCAACCAGCAGAATGTACAGAACCTGAGCCATACAGAAGTAGTGGATATACTTAAGGACTGTCCCATTGGAAGCGAGACTTCTTTGATTATCCATCGAGGAGGTAAGATAAAAAACTGGCTCAGTGATTAAGTATGCAGTAAAATAGTAAGACCTTCATAATAATATTGCAATGGTGGAAGTTTCTCTGGAGTTGAATGAAATCATACTTTTAAAAATAAAGGTAAAAAAAAGAGTAACAGAAAAACATGAGTTCAGGAAGCTGTGTGTTGTTTTTTTTTAATTTTGAGAATATATCTTTCCCTAAACAAGAATAGTATTTTCAGTCTTACAAATTTATAGTGCTGTGAACTTGGAAGGTAAACATTGAATCCCCAAGTATAAGTGGATTATAGTCCACAAATTTGTTAATGTTTCAGTTGTAGAGACCTCAAACTGGTTTCCCATTGACTTAATTTTTTTAAAAACTGATTTTTCCAGTGGAATCAAAGCTCTGATTTGTGCTTAGGATTCCAGGCTTGCACATGGAAGCTGGTTCAACCCCTTCCAAGTCCTTGTAGAGTCTTGATAATCCCCATCACGACACTGGGAGCTGTGTCTCTGTAGAAAAATCTGTCGGAGTCGTGAACAGCATTGCTCAGGACACTTCCTCCACTGCTATCGGGGCTGCTCCAGCAGTAATTGCACATAGTGCCTTCAGGGCCTGAGGAGGACATTATGGAACAGGGTTAGGGCTGAAGTGCCGGGCTGCCCCATTCTAGGTGGGAGCAGTGAGGAGTGTGGTGGAAACCCTGAACTCTGGATGTTTTTCTCTTCTACTTTGTGCGGAAGGGATGGGCTAAGCATATCTCTACTACTTTGCTCTTGATTATCTACGAAACAAGGGAGAGAAAGAAGGAGAGGCAACAGAGAGAGAGGATACTTGAAAACAGTATAAGTGAAAGCATTTAGGCTAAGACCTGGTTTTCCACTTAACCAGATGTCTCATCTGTTATGCTGGGATAATCCTACCTAACCTATGGTAGTGTTTTTAGTGTTGGATGGTCCACAATAGGTGCTCATTAAACGTCTGTTGATTCTAAGTTAGCACCGAAGCTGCAGCAGGGACGGCTGGGTCAGAAGGAGCAGTTCTGTGAGGAACTCATGCGTGAAGAATACACGTGTGGCAAACATATGCGATTGCCTAGTCAAAGCACTAAAATCTGCATGAAAGCCCCGGCAGTTTGAAATACAAATGAAGTCAGCCAAGCAGAAAGAAGCGCCTTTTATGATTTATTTGGCCTTCTCCGCAGGTCTTCCCTTCAAGGAAGTTTTTCCGTTGTTGCTCCCTGGTATGAAAAAAGGCACCTAGTACTGAGCATTTGTGAGCAACACCATGCAAAGTATTACGCTCCTAAATTTAAAAAGGAAAACAATATGCTAACAGAACAATCCTACATATTAAATTTTACCTTCTTAAGACATTATCACAAAATAGTTCTTCATAATTAGTTAAATATTGACAGTGTATCTTCATTTTTCTCATTGCTCATTAAGAGTAAAACAAATATTCTTAATTTAATAGTCATACCTTCATAATATGCAATTGAAAATCACATGTTTGTAACAGGTTCTTGGTATTAAAAAGTGTAACTGAAAGTCGATATGCAGTGTACACTGTACGATTCATAGAAAAAACTTTGGAAACATTTTATATATAATGACTTTTTTAAAGGCATGGGTGATAGGAAAACTGCATTTTTAACGTGTTTATATATATTTATTCTATATTGCATATTATTATGTAATGTATTTTATTTATATTTTTGCAATTAGTACCTTTAGGAAATGGTTTTTATTTGGTGGCTAGTATAGAATTCCAGGATGTGATGCTTAAAATACAGTACTTCTAGTAAAAAACCTCTTGTGTTTCCCAAAGTCCTACAATTTATACTCATCACTCTGAAATTAAGAGGACTTAGCACCACAGTTTTGACGAAATGCCCTTTGATTATATTAATAGATGCTACTTACAAGTGCTTAGGCCTCGTTCAGGTAAGTCTCGCTCTTCCAGAGCGGGTTCACGGGCCTGAGTCCTTACAACAGGATCATGGTCGTTTGTTTTAATTATTTACTAGGATGTTTTTATTTAAAAAGCAATAATGTACATGGTTTAATTTTTTAAGCAAATAATGTCAGAAGGTATCAAGTGAAAAGTAACTCTCTCCTGTCCCAGACTTTCAGTGTTTTTCCCTCCAGAGGCTAACGTGTTTTTTTGTATATATACAGAAATTTTGTACTCTTAACTAGAAAATACTTGAATAAATACAGTATGTTCAATATAAATGGGATAATATTACACATATATATGTCTTGCTCTAAAATCTTGGTTACTAGAGTGTTTTTACTTTTAATACACATCATTGTGGTTCAATTTATACACCATAAAATTCACCAATTGTAAGTGTATGAGGAGTAAATTTTGCTAAAATAATATAGTTGTGTAATAGTCACCATAATCCTTAGATCATCCATCACCCCAATTTCACCAAGTCCTATATTATTGCTAATATGCTTTCTGAACAGTTTTGTCTTTCGACATTTTTTATGTAAATGGAATCATACAGTATGTAGTCTTTATTTTTATTGTTGACAGTATTACAGAAGTCCCCCATTTTCTCCCTCCTTATCCCCCTCCCCAGGCCTTCCCCAACCTATTTTCTGTGTCCATGGGCTATGCATATATGCATATATGTCATTTGGTTAATCTCTTCCCATTCCCTCCATGCACCTCTCCTCTGAAATCTGTCATTCTGTTCTATGCATCTATGCCTCTGGACCTATTTTTTTCATCAGTTTATTTTGTTCATTGGATTCCACATATAAGTTAGATCATGTGATATTTGTCTTTCTTTAACTGGCTTATTTCACGTAGCATAATACTCTCCAGGTCCATCCATGCTGTCACAAAGGATAAAAGATCCATCATTTTTATAGCTGCATAGTATTCCATGGTGTAAATGGACCACAACTTCTCAATCCACTCATCTGTTGATAAGCAGTTGTGTTGTTTCCAGATCTTAGCTATTGTAAATTATGCTGCTATGAACATAGGGGTGCATGTATTCTTTCTGATTGGTGTTTTGTGTTTCTTAGGGTATGCTTCCAGAAGTGGGATTGCTGTATGTAGTCTTTTACTTAGCATTGTGCTGTTAAGATTTACCCATGTTGATGCATTTAGGATTAGTTTACTTCTTTTATTGCTGGTGCAGTATTCCATTGTATAGATATGCCAATTATTTTAATCCATTCACCAATAGATGGTTGTTTTCAGTTTGGGGCATTTATGAATAATGTTGCTATGAACATTTGGATAGAAGTGTTTGTGTGCACATATATTTTCTTTTTTCTGGGTAGATACCTAGAAATGGTACTGCTGGGTTATATGACAAGTATGTATTTAAATTGTTATGAAATTGCCAGAATGTTTTCCAGAATGACCATATCTTTTTACACATCCACTAGCAACGTATGAGATTTCCAATTTCTGCCCATTGTTTCCCACACTTGGTATCCACAGTCTTTCTGATTATAGTCATTCTAATGGGCGCATAGTGATGCTCTTTATGGTTTTAATTTATATTTCTCTAACCTTTCCGTGTGTTTATTAGCACTCATATATCTTCTTTGGTGACATGCCTATTCAACATTTCACCCATTTGTGTATTTATTGGGAATACATAATGCCCTAAACAAAGGAATTCGCTCTCTTGTTGCTCTTGTACAACCAAACCTCAAACCCAACCCAGCCCTCCAGAGTTAGATAATTTCAAAAGTGTGTTATATTATACCTTCAAGGAATGATAGCTGCAATGCTACTTAAATTATGTTAAAGCAGCGAGAGAAGAAAAAGTATTGATTGCTTTTATAACATCTACTGTAACTTCAATAGTAAAGTCTGATAGTAAAAAATAAAACAGAACCTGAAAAATAAAAACTTTAGACCAATGTCAAATATTAATGTTGATATAAAATTACATATAAAATTAGAATAAGGAGAACTTTATAAGCATAATATGGTTTATTTCAGGAATGAAAGGATAGTTCAATAATAAATCTCTTAATGCAATTCATCAAAGTGATAGTCAAAGTAGAAAATAATAATCATGTCCATAGATACCTTTTTTCTGGTTTTTGATAAAATTCATTATACATTTTTGACAAAGATTCATAATGAATTAGGAATTGTGGGATATTTACTTAACCTGATAAATATTGATGTCAAATAGAAAGCTAGTATTATGCTTAACTGTGTAAAATGAGATGGTATAAGCCAGGATTAAGATAAATTTCCATATTCTTCAATATTAATCCATAGTGTTCAAGAAATAACAGTTAATGTATTATATAAGACAAATTAGAGGAATGCAAGTAGGAAGGGAGAAGGCAAAGTGATTGTTATTTGGGGTGTGGTTGGTGGGGGAGAGATTTTTACAACTTTTCTCAATTTTCCCCATAGTAATTAACCTTCTTAGAGTTTCTGTCTTGCCTCAGTTTAATTTCATAATTGATATTATCTTACATAATTTTCTGTTTTAGTCATGATTTTAAATGTATTTAAATATAATTAAATCAAGTGTTTTCTATTTTTTCTTTTATTTTCCACTTTAACTTAGAGTATTTCTATTATTCTCATTTCTTATTGCTACTATTTCTTGATTAGGTTGACTATTTTTCTATTTTAATGGCTCAAGAAATATACAAATTTATATATAAACTAATGGCCCCGGCACAAAATTTGTGCACAGGCGGGGGGAGGTGTCCCTCAGCCCGGCCTGCACCTTCTTCAATCTGGGAACCCTTGGGGGATGTCTGACTGCCGGTTTAGGACCGATTTCTGTGGGATCAAGCCTAAACCGGAAGTTGGACATCCCTCTCGCAATCCGGGACCGCTGGCTCCTAACTGCTCACCTGCCTGCCTGCCTGATCAACCCTAACCATTCTGCCAGCTGGCCTGCACTCTCCCAACTGCCCCCCCCCTCGCCAGCCTGCTTGCCCTCAACTGCCCCCCCTGCCGGCCTGATCACCCCAACTGTCCCCCTTGCTGGCCTGATCGCCCCCAAC